TACAGGACTCCGGCTGCGATCCCTGCCACGACCACGGTAAGCACCTGGGCTACGAGAAATACTCCTACTTTGACTCCTGCGTCTATATCTACACGAGAGGGGAACAATGATAAACAAATCAGTTTGTTGGGGAAAAAATCATCAACAAAGCCAGAAAACAATGGTACTGGATATCTGATTTCAAAAATTATTATGTGAGATCAGCTTCTGTATTCATACACAAAAATGCCATTTTTTCAAACCAAGAAAAAATTTGTAAAATTTTCAAGACCATTCAGGTTTTACAATCTGTTTCCAAATTTGGCAGTTTAACCATCCGGTCCAATCTTCAAACCAATAACATGACACAACTATATAAATCCCACCATAAGACAGGAAGTTGGTAAACTGTGAATAGAAGAAGAACTGTTTTCCACTAAAAAAGAGAGAGAAGAGAGAGGAATAGGAAAAAGAAGAGAGTGAGGAGAGAGGGAGAGAGGACAATGATGCAGCATACCATTGCAGGGATTTTGAGGAAAACATTACTGTGTAAAATGTGAAGGAGATGCTGGTATTTAATGGTGAACAGAGAGACCAATTATCATGGGATGAACAATTGTAGAAGTTAATAGGGAAAAAAATTCAATCCACTTATCACTGCATCTGCTTTCACAAAAACAATTCAGCAAATTAGTACCTTGCTATAAAAAATGGACATTAGGAACATTTATTGGTGCAAGAAAAGAAGTAGACAAAGAAGGAAGGGGTGCATAAGTAAAATCAGACCTTTTGTTTTTCCAGATTAGTTATCATTGTCATAGGCTATAGGATACAGAAAAACATAATAGATTCCACAGAGAAAGAGAGAGAGAGAGAGAACCTTGGGGGCTCCTGCCTCTTGGTGAGCTTCTATAACGTCTTTGTGGTGAGCGCTGAGAGTAAGTTCTATAGCTTGAATACCTAAAACAAATCAGAATTTGTTCAAAGTCCATTGCAGCCCGTCCCATAAATTTCTTTAGAGCTTACCTATCATGGTTCCTTTCATAAAAGTTCCTTCCACCATAACGATATGACCTATGAGGTGAACGCTCTGGTGATGGCGTACGGTATCGCCGTGCAAGGAAAAGCGTTCGGTGAAGCCACGCCCTTTCCTAATGCGCTTTGGAGTGCCATTTGGAGAACGACTTCTAGACAAACCCTGACCATGATTCAAAGCAGAAGCTTGAGGGGCCTTGAGTGGAGGGCTTTGCTGATCAGACTTTCTATCTGGAGCACCACCATCATTGTGATTTCTGGGACTCCTCATAATTCTTTTAGGGCTCGGGCTTGGACTGCTCCGACGGTTGGATATCAGTCTTCCTCTGGGGGTTGGTGTCGAGCTTCTGTTCATCACAATGTGAAAGGTATTAGTTTAGCACTATTACAGCAGCATAAATACACTGGCATGCAAGATACAGTCAACATTGCATACAAAGCGACAAAGACAATGTGAGAAAAGTGAATCAAGCTAATAGTGTTAACCTGGATTTGCTCGACTTATCTGAATAATGATGCTGATTGGCTGTTTTATCAGCTTTAGCTTCAATACCATTAACATTTTCAAAAGTTTGTTATCCTTCTTGGAAAATTCACCCTCTTCATGTGAGGAGTTACCCTCTGTCATCTTTAGCTCACGATCCTTTTGCTGTCCAGTGACAGTCTGTCCTAGAAGAGGGTTTGGAGATTTATCCGCTACATCTGTAAATTAACAGTAAGGGATGAGAAAGTGTAACAACATCAATGCTGGTAATATCTTTCACATGCAAATAACTGCCAATTAATTAAAATACCACCTAAGTCATGAAAGAAATACAAAAGCCATACAAAAGAAGTGGAAAAGTCGATACCAAGACTCTGACGTAGCTTCTTAGTTTGAACATTTGATGAGTTGCTGATTTTATGGGCAGCTTTACGACTGGCTTTCTCATCATCAGAGCTGCTGCTGCTGTTGCTACTGGCTCCACTCTCTGTGCCACTGGAACTCCCTGAACTCCTGAAAATAATACAAAATATGATACAAGCCAGAACTTAAGCAAGACCAAAAGGAGGTTAAATAATGTGAAAATGCTGCTAATAACATAACTTAAAACCATACAATTTAGACTTGCGCCTTGATTTTTTATCGCGCTCGCTTCTTGTCCTCCCCTTTCGTCCGCCCCTTCTTTTCTTCTTCCATGTTGGTGCCTCTCTCTCTTCATTGATCTCCTTTTCTTCCGACGCCTTCCATCACTGGAAGAACTTGAAGAATAGGAATCTGACTCAGAATCCAAATCAGAGTCTGAATAGGAATCAGTGTCCGAAGAATAGGAATCAGAGTCTGTGTCAGAGCTGTACGAATCAGATGAAGAGTATCTCCGTTTTCTCTTCTTCCTTCTGTCCTTGAGAGATATTTTGCGTCTTCCTTTTGTTTTCTCATCGGGATCATCATCAGAGGAAAGACATTTCCCTGATTTTTTCTTTTTCCCTGAATGGGAAGGCATCATAAAGCATAACTACCAAAAAAAGATACATGATCCACCACCAAGCTTCCACAGGATGAGTTTGTAGATCATAACAGAAAGACAAAAATACCTTTCTCTGCTACAGCCGCATCATGAATTTTACTTTCAGATGTTTCACCACAATCTACAATTTTTACAATAGCAGAAGGTTTCCCATCAGCAGTTCCCAACTGTTCAATTTTCCTTACAACATCCATTCCTTTCACAACCTGTCCAAAAACAACATGTTTCCTGCCATACAATCAACAAGTACATGATTAATATAATTCACTATCAAAATCCAATTGTCCTCTGAAGACTTAAGAGTCTCAATAGTAGGAAAATTCCATCAGATAAGGTCATATGGGGATAGGAGATAGATATTAAGTAAAAATTCAGGCAAACTGAAACCACATACAGCACAGACAAGAGATGAAATACCCGTCAAGATGAGGTTGACGCTTGAAGATTATAAAGAACTGGGACCCATTTGTGTTTGGACCACCATTTGCCATAGAGAGAAGACCAGGCATAGTATGATCCAGTTTAAAGTTCTCATCTGCAAGAGAACAGAAAATATTATGAGTGATCATACAAGAAGCACACCAAACACGCAAAGATGAGCTGAAATATAAACAAAAACCAACCTGCAAACTTCCCCCCATAAATACTTTCTCCACCAGTGCCTGCAAACCATTAAAAGGTTGTGCCTTACAAGTCTGACAGGAAGATGGAAGTTAAATAGAGCATCTGAATTAATGGAAAGAAAAAGATCTGGGAAAAAAACAGCATACCATTTCCTTTAGAAAAATCACCACCCTGCAAGAGAGAAAAATGTGATCAAATGATAAGTCACCAGACCATTATATATTTCAGAGGAGGGGGACCAAACATAAAATCTTTAGCAGTTCAGAGATTAAAAGAGAATCACAATCAGATCTACCTATATATACCGTAACGGTATTTAATTATGAAGGTTAGCTGGGTAGCTGATCTTGTTAGTTTGTTCTTGGCAAGAGGGGAGAGCCTAATCCTTTTGTTTTTAAAATCAGATTTCCTCTGCTTAATGGATAACTATTTGTTATCAATGGAGAAAACAGACTTTTCAAGTACTTAAATATTATTTAATGGATGAAAATGGAAAATTTCTTTCTTCCCTGATGAACACATGTACACATACTCAATAACAGACTTAAGGCATAAAAAAATTAAGAGACGACACCTTAGGATGCAGCACTCTGATGGATTAATATTCTTGGAGATACACACACTTTCCTGCTCTAACACGGATAGAAGATACACATTGCATTATTTAAATACTTTTTCCAAGGATTTGACTTTCCTTTGTGTTTATGGAGGAGCACTATTTAATAACTCTAGAGCATGCTTAATTTCAACATACCAATAACAATGAAAATACTTGAAGTCCAATCAGCAAGCGACCTGTCAATTACCAAATGGCAAAGACATGACACCATCATAAACCTTTCCAACTGCATCCCCAACAACTAATCAGTCATTTGTCCACATTGTTCATCAAGTAATACTTCGCAATACAAATATCAGGATGATGGTATCTTACATGCCAGACTTTATACAAATCCAAAAGAGCACAGTAGGTAGACTGTCTGAATATTAAAACCATAACAATTTAAAAAACCAAGAGCTCCTAGGAGCTCTGTACAATCAGGCACAACACAAGCAGACACATTTGCTGCACATGCAGAGAGCACCAAAGTTCTCATTTGCACTAATAAGAAATTTCAATAATGCCGAGACGGTGAAGCCAACCAACCTCACATTAATTCGAGTCTCATACATTGCATTGCAGCAAACAAAAAATTGCATGGATGATTCCTGGAAAATTGAGGATAAATACTCATAATATAACCAACATACTTGAACCATGAATCCCTTAATTATGCGATGGAATATAGATCCCTTGTAATGTAGAGGTTTCTCAGTAGTAATTCCAATGCCCTTCTCACCTGCAGAGATTAACACCAGAAAACAATCAGAGTCCATTACAAACTCAGTTCCAACCAAGAAGCGATTATCTCTAAAAGCCCAATAGAACAATAGCAAAGTTTCAATCAAATATTTGACAGAAACTAGAAATAGATATATAAAAGACGGCAAGCAGAAGAACAAAAGGTAATGTTTAATCAGAGACTGCAACAATTTCTTCCCTCACCCGCAAAGAAACAAAACCCTCCAAGTCTACAAAAGAAACTTGCAAGTCCAAATTGGCAGTTGATGTCCTATTGCTAATGTCATGAGTCCAGGTAACACTTACGATCATAAAAGGCAAAATGCTAATCTATTATATGTTTCTTATTTGACAAGAATTCTTTTCGAATTGAATACAGAGGATGTAAATGTTTGATGAGTTTTTTATTGGTTATCTCGGAAGAAACTTATCTAGCAAGTGGAACACAAATTTTCCAAACCTGCTTCTAACAGAATCCATCAGCTTTATAAATTTCAGTACAGAAGTCTTCACATAAAACTAAAAGTGACTTTTCTTCTTATTCTTCTCCTCCAGTATCTATATGACTTCATGACACTACTTATTTATTAGGGTTCAAGAGCCCCATCAACTTTTTTGTAAGATGGCTTTTGGAATTTTATTTTAAAAACACCATAACAACCATCAATGAGGATGCAATTAGTAAAAGATCAAAAATAGAGTTGCATTATAACGCGATTACAAATCCAATAACATTACATCATCCAGTGTGTCACTTTGAATAACAAGTAAACAAATACTTAATAAAACCACGAGTTTCAAACACATGAGTTGCATACTCCTAATCCCCAGCTTGGTTTGGGCAGCAAGAATGCTGATTTGATCAGGAACATTGCAGATCTAGCTTTTAGTCATCCAATTAAACAGAAGTTAAAATGAAAACTTTCATCCTTATAGAGTAAGCAGTGTTGGTTCCAGAAAACATAAAAGTAACAAAGGACTGGTATTTGTAGCCCCATTCAAGTAAGACATAGCAAGATACCAGTACAGAGTGCCCGAAAATTCTCAGCTGTCCTGGGGGCAACATCGGCAAAAAGCTGCATGTGTCAGAAAACAATGCTTCAGTAGCTAAACACAGAAATTGTCCCATAAAACCACCTGATAATGAGCAAAGAGCTCATGCGCAAAAAACAAGACTAAAGAAGTCAAAGTAAAGAAACAAAAAAAATTATAGAGTTGTTGTTACAAGTTACCTCAATAACAATCCTTTCCACAGGATCTCTATCAATTGATATGTCCAAGAATACGACTGGGTTCTTCTTATTCATCTCTCCCCAGATGCTGAAAAATTACCTTAATGTCAGCATATGTTTTCCCAACAACACAAAAGAAGCCTGTTTGTTGAATTTGACCACTATCTTATTCATATAGGTCAGACATGCTTCCGAGAAATAAGAAAACCATTTACCACAAATGTGTCTCTATGTCCTCCTTGTGATAAAATCATAAATCATGTCATTTTTTATTCAGGGAAGAGGGGGCAATAGTGAGGGGCTATGTCAAAAATATACATAATAAACACGGCCCATAAAACCCCAACTGTTCATTCGAGCTATATTACATCCCAAAAAGGGGCCAAGATAATGCATGAAACACCGCCATGATCAAATCTTTGAGCCACCAATGCATAAAGTAGATGCAACCCATAAACCTTAAACCCCAATTGATCATTCAAACCCAATCTAACACTACAAGTCTTGCTCCAAAACTGCCTAGAAAACGCACGAAACATGTGGAAAGATTGAATCTTTATGCAAACAGTCACAAATCAAAAGACCAACTCATAACACTCCAAACCCTAGTCGTCCATTGGAGCTATATTACAACTCGATAAGCATCTTTTGCTTGAAATTGTGGTTTCTACATGAATTGAAACCTCTGGAAGTCTTAAATTGAAAAAAAATATCACCTGAAGAGTGAAATCCTTAGAAGTTGCAAAAAGATCCACAAGAAAGAGAAAGAAAACGTAAGATGAGATGAATTCCTGTCGTACCTGGAGTAAGTGTATGTCGGCCTGAGTAAACAGGTAGTGAGGACTTGAGCCTCAGCGAGAGAGATCGGTAACGAACACCGTCAATGTCTAAGATAAAGAGAGAGAAGACCTCGCCGTCTGTACTTCGCACTTTCGCATATGTGAGTGTGTGTGCGTGTGTGTGTGTGTGAGAGAGAGAGCAGTGTAGTGTAATAACTGAGAGTTTCTTTCTTAATTTAATTCCTATTATCTTTCTTTTTGAAATATTGATTCGGAGTACGTGAACCCTGCTGCTTGTAGTTGAGTTTCAATAGACTGGGCCGGCCCTTTCCGGCCCACCAATCAACAGACTTAGTTTGGTTTAATGGACCAATTTTTTCCAAAACTAGGCCCACCAATCAACGGACTTAGGTTGGTCTAATTGACCAATTTTTTCCACAACTTTTGGTCTGTGGTAGGGGCTTGGGCCAACTCTTCTGGACTAGCAAGTGAGTTATAAATGGGAGGCCCACCCAATCTATTACTGATCTACTATGCTAACAGACCATCCGATGGGCTTTGGGTTTTATGTCAAGCTTTATTTGGCAGACCTAATGGAGCTATATATATATATATATATTTTTTTTTACTTTTTTAGGGAATTTTAGAGGCCAGTCTTTGGTAAGAAACTTTTTGGACTTTAAATTCACTCAGCAAAGTAATAGGAGTTTAAAGACTCTTTGTGCTAATTTGTCTAAACTATCCCATCTCCCATTTTATCTCACATAACACTGGGTTTTTTATATCCAAAAATCCCCATTAAATACCACGTCATTGATAAATCACGCGTCATTCTGACATGAAAATACAACTCGTAATCGATTTCCCAGACATTTGAAATTTGAAATACACCTCCCATAAATTCCTAATTTGTTTTGATTTCTTTTTTCACTTACATACCAAGTTGAGTTTCTTCGTCAACATCAATTTTCACCCACAAAATAACCCTACGCCTTTAACAATAAATTTCTCCGCTGACTGAATATGAGGTATGCATAATTTTTACAAAAATATCATCAATTCACATACTCAGAATTTTCCATTACATACATTTTTGAAACCCACCAACTAAAATAAATAAACCGAACAACGTATATGAGTAGAGATGGTGTGTATATTCCTAAACCATAGGACTGCATTGAGTGCGAAATTTGTTCAAGGAAAGAAAGAAAGCTGGAGAAAAAATAAGAAAAAGAGTGACTTGTAACTCTAAATTTGTTTTGGACAAATGTACTAAACACGTATGAATTGCAATTTCATTTTGTGATATGGTGATTTGTTCTTGTAAATACACAGTTTTGGCACGAATGTACGAAGTTGATTTTTGTTGAAACAGGTATGTTAAAAATAAATCAGTCATTGACATGTTACACTGAAAAATAATAACATAAAAATAAAAAATAGTAACATTTCAAATCAAAGACAATTATACTGAAAAACAGTAACATGAACATAATTGTGACAAAAAACACTAACATTTAAAACAAAAGACAATAATATTAAATATAATATAATTTAAATAATAATGTGAACACAATTATGACAAAAAAATAGTAACATTTAATTTATTGGTATGTGTTCTTCGGTTGCCTCTCTTCGCTAAAGAATATAAAGTTGAAGAGAATTGTTTTTTTCTTTGTACACGTGTGTGTTTTTTGTGTGTCCAGTTTACTTGTGTTTTGTTTGTTAAGTTGAACTAATCATGCATGAGGATATGTTTGGTTTGAGGGGAATTGATAGTTGTTTTGATGGTTGGATTTGGAATAGTGATTTTGAAGGAAATAGAGTTAAATTGTGATGATTGTAAATTGTAAATTTTAGTTCTTTGGTTGAATTTGCGTGTATAGATATGTGACTGTGAACGTTGATGTTACTATATATAAATGTTATTTTTGTTTGAAGTATGTAGTGATTAAAATATGGTGTTGTCTTTAATTTAGGTTAAGTAAGTTTTTCTTGAGATTAGTTATGCAATGATTTGTGTTGGGCAATGATACATACAATAAGATATATAAGCACCGTAGACAAATTGGGATTTCCTTAAACTCCTATCTTTAGTGGAAATTCCGCCAAAATTCTTTGAAAAAATAGCGAAGGCTCGATTGATTGAAGGAAAAATCATTCAAATTGACTGATTTTTTTAAGTGACAAAGTACTTTTAGATACGAATTATTACTACAAATACATATATACAAAAACACACACACATATCTGTATACACATCAAAATCAAAGAAGTGGTACTAAAAATGTTGTTAATTGCTTCATCCTATTGTATCTTTATGTTTATTTATATCTCACTCTGGGCATATATATGTTAAATTGTAGATTCTAACTCACTTAAACCATTTTTGGTATTTCTAGTGGTTTGCATGTTGAAGCATGGGGTACATTCACTAGAGTTAAAATGGCAGTTGCGATGGGTTTGCCATAAGTACATGTTTGCAAGGTGACTCGAAGGGTATTATTGAGGCAAACTTACGAAACGAGGACTTGTCGGAGATTGGATATTTTGTGGATCAAATTCATATTATTGCATAGAGTTTCATTCATTATTCTGCAGTATAGGTAAGACATTCTAGTAGTTGAGTTGCGCATAGCCTAACTAAATATGTGAGGTCTTGTTCTGAATGTATTATATGGCAAGATGTGGCACCAGATTTTTTGGTTCCCATCTTGCAAGATGAGATTACTATTTCTAATGAATGAATTTCCGTCGCATGGCAAAAAAAAAACTCACTAAACCATTTTCCACCATTGAGAATGATCTCAGATTCTCAATCACAAGGAAACTAATATGTGCGGGCTCGATCCTGCACGATATATAAAATATTGGGAACAGATCTCTCCCCTGGTGAACTCTGCGTGAGCCGGTTGAGTGGCCAAACACGCTACTTGAAACAACCTTCGAGGTACGGTGGCAACTTGGAACGGCAAAGGGAGATCCTGGGAAAGGAGGAACGATCCTGTACGTGAGAAAGGTATTTCCTGGAACAAAGGAGAACAAGTTAGCAGGGCGCCGGAGTGTTTTCCGGCGTATCCCCTCCGACGGTCTAGTCAGTCTTTGAATGAGAGAGAGGAAGGAGAAAACACTGAGAAGGATATTTCGTAGTTGAGAGTTTGAGATTGCATACCCGCTTTGTCTTTTGGGAGGGGTATTTATACCTTAGAAGATCATGATTGCTGTCAGTGTGGTCAGTAGGTAATCATCAGGCATAGGTAGCGTGTGTAATCATTTGATGAGGAATGTCTTCTCTAATTGATTGCTCGGGGTCCCGAGCAATCAATGGTGAGTTGTCGGGACGCCGACGGTACAATATGCTCCTTTCGGGAAGGATGCAGCAAATGCTCTGTAATAGGAGCATTTATTGCCTTTCATATCCGAACCTTACCGCATTAAATGCGGTCTCGTCAACAGAAGGGTGTAATTAATTGTTTGCTTTCCCAAGTCGCGTGTCAGCAGCGGCATGCAGTTTGTCTGCTTCGGATGTGACATTATTTGCCACGCGTCCATCCCTTATTGGCTGTTACGTCGGTATTCCAGCACGTTCTGACATTACTTGTGTAAGAAGAGGTCATGATGACTAATCCATACTGGCATAGGCTGATGTCCAGTATGTCAGTAGCCTTATCCGGGAGTAGAGGAAGCGTCCAGGATGGAGTGACCCTCGGCGCCGAGGAAAGGCTCACCTCGGGACCAAGGGGGTGGTGTGTCCCCGAGGTACACGTGTGACCGAGGACACGTGTTTGTTGTATAACATACCGAATGTGTGATCCTATATGAGAGGTACCTCGGGGTAAAGGACGCTCTTCGCCGACGGTGCTTACATCCAGGCACACTGTTCCAAATATCCCGAGGACACGTGTCATCATCTTAGGGCTTCTCAGAAGAGTCCCATCATAATACATGGAACCAACCAGAATGCTTTTGCAAAATATTAATTCAAAAGTTGAAAATAAGTTATTGAATTGTGTTCAACGTGTATGAGTGTCTGGATCTCTCATATCTTTTGCTGAAGCTTGGTGTTTCAATTGGTGTTTTCCTTAATTTGCCCTCAATAAAACTTAAAAAAGATGTTTTCAGAGATGTTTTTAGACAATTATAAGTAAATGGCCCCTTTTTTTTTTTTCTTTTTCCCCCTTCTTCTTCTTCTTTTATTTATTCTTTTGGATAGTTGGGAAAATTAAGACCTTGTAACTGAGACCATATGCATCATGATCAGTTATTCCAATATTGATAGAAAGTTCAGTTTTGTTT